CTCTATCACAACTTGGTCAAGTTTGTCGTTACCGCTCTCGCGCTCGTCGCCAGCACGTTTGCAGCCGCTGCAGCCGTCGACACGCCGGCGATCGAGGTCGCTGCCTAACTGAGCGCCGAGTCAGACACCACAACACCTCCGCGAGGACGGCCAGAAGGACTCGATCTGCGGCGGCTTTGGTCTCGGCGGCGGTTGGGGTCTTGGCGGCGGCTGGTTCTGGACGCGATACATTATGTGCAGCAATGGCCGATACACGAAGAACAGTGGATCACATTTACGCTACTACTCCCAACTTCATGCACTCAGAGTACTTTGAGTGTGTCAGTGCGCCAGCAATACCATGGCGAAGCCGTTTCCGGGTCAAGCGCGGGGCGACCGCCACGTCATTTCACCCTGAAACTTTGCCACGTCCCGACCGTGTCGCCGGGTTCACAGCTGTACTTTTTACGATCGAAAAAAACAGAGGAGTTCCGGTCAAAGTCTGTTCTTTATAGCTTCACAACGGCCCTGTACATAGTAGCATCGGGCCTGGCTTAGCGCGTCGCTGTCGACTTGGTCGCGCCACCGAGCAGCTTGAGAGTCAGAAACGTAATCTGCTCCTTGGTCATGAGCAAGAGCGCGCTCTTGAGCACTGTGTTGAAGAGCTGCGCCTCGCAGCCCTTGAAGAAACCGTGGAGACCGTCCGTCGCCCAAATGCGCTGCAGAATGTCCGTCATGCTGCTCTTCTTGTCGTCCTCGTCGGTCGACTTGGCCTGCATGATAACCTTGGCGCGGATGATCGGGTACGTCATAACGGTGGCAATCGACTTGGCGATGGCCGCGAGCACGAACGCTTGAAGCGCGCTCAGCGACGTGGACGCCGAGACGAGCTGGAGCTTGAGCCGGTCGAAAATCGTATAGTTGATCGCGGGGTTGGACACGAGCACAAGCGACGGGATGTAGCCCTTCCAGAGCGCAAAGACACCATCCTGCTTGTACAAGGCCTGGAGCACGTCCCATTGGCTCTGGTTCGGGTTCCCGGACGTCTGGATGTACGTCGAGATGACCTCCCACGGCAGCGTCATGCTCATGTTGATCGCGCCGGCGAGCGCACCGATCGCCAAGTTGGCGGCCGTCGAGAGCGACCCGACCTTCTTCTCGTAGAACGACTTGAGCCACGCGTACCAGTAAAAGTAGCAAAAGTTGGAGAGCACCTATACAGACGCCATGAAGATGCGTCCCGTGGTGTATCGTAGTACCGTGTGGATGGCCTTCGGCCCAAGCCCAGCGAAGAGGCCTGCGACGCCTTCCGTGTCCCAGATCGTCTTGCAGATGCTCAACGTATCTTCCTTGCGCGTCTTTGTCTTGTCATCGCTTGTTTCCTATACAGCGAACGCATTGAGCCGGCTCGTAGGTAGCGACGGCGACGAACCTCGGTCGACTTGACCGACGCCTGGTGCTTGGTCTTGGCCACGTCCAGCGGGAAGAGCGCGAGGCAAGCGAAGAGCGCACCAACGGAGCCGGCCTAAGCCATGGGCGTGAGGCCCTCCATGCGCAGCCGCGGCTATCCTGACGTACCGACGCCTCGACGAAGGCCTTGTTGGAGGCCATGGCAGCTTGTGATCTAATGCGCAGCTGTTTGCGAAACATTCGAACTCGAGTCATCCGACCCAAATAGTGTTATACTGTATAAACGTGTTTGACGTGAAATGCGTTTTAGTCGTGCCACAGGTACCACGCACGTTCTCCTAGCTGGCACTCCGAGGTGGGCGACTGGATGCGTCCAAATGACCGTACGATGTATATACGTTTAATAGCGATTCACGTTCACCTTGCTCCTCATGGTGCAGAGCCTGCAGTTGTCGCCAGAGCACACATTGGGCAAGGCTCATCACTGCATCAAGGCCTCAAAGCGCCAGCAGCACTCAGCACTCGCAAGGAGGAGTTTATGCCAATTTAGCGTACATGGAGTCATCTCCCTGCAAGTGTTGTCCCGGCTGACATGCCCCCGAGCGTGGTCGATACATTCTGGTACACGCAAAATGGAGTCGACTGGTTTAAACACGGTAAATAGGTTTAGCCTGTGCTTCTCGCAGCATCGCAGCGGAGCCCCATCGTCCTGTCAACATGATTGGCAAATCACTGGTCATGGCTTGCGAAGTCAACTGGAGTGCGTCGTCGCCCAGCCGCAGCGCTCGAGTGTTGTGACCGAGCAAGGCGACACGAACGGAGGTCCTCGCACTTGAGATAACACGTTGAACGACTGAGGTGGGCCGCCATACAAACAGCGTGGCGGGAGGCGCCGTGGCGTCTCTCGACTAACTGCAGACTAACTGAAGGGCACACGACATGAAGACTGTTCGTATGGGCGCTCAAGGTGTTGACTACAATAAGATCCCAATGGTCGCTGGACCAAGGCGGTCGGTAGATACACAAGTCATGACGTGGCGTCTTCGTGGCCCGGGATTCAAAACACTGTTTCATTGCTGTTGCAAACAGTGTACTGCCAAAGATACCACCAACATGGGGTGACGGCAACAAACAGCAAGGGCGACCATGGGTTACAGCGTCTGAGAGCGAACGCGGGTGGTGCGCTACTACGTAGGGACATCAACCTACAGCGATAACGCTCGACGTGTTCAGGGACGTTGCTTCCAGGATGCAGCAGAACGGTAGAGCTCAACTGCTCTGATCATATACCAAATGAGCACGGCTAGAGACTTCTATACATATCCTCTGCTCCTGACCCCACACAAGAGTTTTCAAGTCCTCTACGATCGGCGTCGGTGCGTCGACACCACGACCACACACAAAGTTTAAAGCGCAATGACGAGTCGTTGGTTGACGACCAGACAGGGGTGGTGATTACATCATAGTACAGATCTGGTTGCGGATAACCTCACAAACAAACAACTGTCTGGCGCGCTACGCCTCGGATTTGCCCTACTCGCGGAACAGTCCGATACCGCTACTGCATTGGAGAGGCTTCTGGAAGACAAATGAGTTGAACGATTGCATGTAATACTATTATAAGATCAAAGTCCAAAAAACGACCAAACCAAAGACAACCAAACACCCGCTGACGCCGCGCGCGTCACGCGTCACGCGTGTAGACAGCCCGCGTCTCACAAACACACACAACGCGCATCCGGGTTCACGCTGCTAGAACCCAGCGGTCGCAGGCCCTTTACACCACCGATTCACAGCGTTGGTCGCTCGTCCTGCTACTACTATAGTAGAACACGGCGTCGCCCTGTGTGTACACGATTGTCATTTCGAATCCCGTCAATTTGAACCTCGGGAGCTGCCTGAAGTCGCGATCCAGTTTGCCTGTTGCGGAAATTGAAGTCGCGCGTCCAATCCCAAGCGACCTGCCGTTATTTCACCCAATCAAAATACGCCTGTTAACATGATTTTGGCCAATGGCATCGCGGCGAGAGAGGAGTTGGCCGTACCGGTGCAGTTTGCGATTACTTACCGACCAGCAGCAGCATGCGAGGGTCCAGCGCGTCCGGGGCCGCGCTCCCCAAGGAGTTCTTCAACCGTCCAGACTTGACGCGCCAAGAGACCGAGTTCCTCGTGAACCTCGCCAAGGAGATGTGCATGGAGGTCATCTTCTACGCGCAAGAGAACGGCGGCACGGTCAAGTGGCGGCTCATGGAGACGAAAGCTGGCGTCCAAATCTTCCAGGGCGAAGAGTTTGGCGGCAATGACGACCTAACGTACGTGTGCGGCGTCAACACAATCAAGGCCAGCCTCGCCGAGGTCGCCGACATCTTCAACATTGCCTCGGAAGAGAAGCTCGCCGAGTACTCGCGCGTCTTCGAGCCAGATCTCATCGACATGCTCTCGATCTACGACCTCGCGACGCAGACGCCCGACAACCCCATGCACTACATTGGCGTGCGCTGGGCGGCTGTCGAGTCGACGTCGCCGCTTGTCCGGAACCGCGATTTTTGCTACCTCGAGGTACGTCCTCCTCTCTACCCTCGCCTCTCAAATAAGATCGGATAGTGCCAAGATGAGTTTGTCGACACACGCACGGGCAAGCAGGGCTGGGTGCGCTGCATGCATTCGATCAACATCCCGTCGTGCGTCTCGCTCGAGAAGACGCTCGGGTACGTCCGCGGTAGCTACTACCGGTCCGGCTTTGTGTTTGTCGAGACGGACAAGCCGGGGTTTTTGGACGTGACGCACATTCTCCAAGTGAACTTCAAGGGCCGCGTGCCGCCGTGGATCAAGCGCCAGACGCTTCGCCAGCGGGTTCAGAGCATCTCGCGCATTGACAAGCATTTCCAAATGAAGAAGCTCAGTGCCGGACGCATCCTTGGCGACATCGACTTGCCCTCGAAGAAGCACGTCTCCAATTGCCACTGGTGCGCCCGCAAGTTTGACCTGCTCTTTACGCGCAAATTTCGCTGCCGCAAGTGCGGACAAGTCGTCTGCAAGCACTGCAGCAGCCACTGGTAGTACCAACACAATCGAGCAGCGTGCATATTGCTGTGTAGGGACCTCTTCCTGCCCTACTCGGGTGAGAAGCGCGTGCGCATCTGCACCATGTGCTCGAACCTCTGTCGCAACGAGTCGGACGCCGGCGACGACCGCCTCTCCAACGACCAGTTCACGCCCGAGTACGTATTCCTCTTTTGATGGAGGAAGCTCAGTGCGATGTAGCCCGGCGTATGCACCGCCAGGACGTGCAACGTCGCACCACCAGTCGCATCACCAGTCGCAGCACCGGCAGTCGTCGGTGGCATCGTCGTTCTCGATGGCTGGCGACGAGATCCACGGCCGGTCGCGCCCGTCGTCAACGTCGTCGCTGCCGCACGTAACCACGGGCTACGCCAAGTCGACCTTGTCGCACTCGGTGTCCTCGCAGCCGCCGTCCCAGTCGCTCGTGCCCGTGGGTACTCTGCACCAAGTGCCGCGGTACCAGCCCGCGACCGACACACAGAGCAGCTACCACTACGACAAGGCGCCGTCGGCGTATGGTGACCTCCAGAGCGACTACGAGAGCATGTACGAGACGAATCCGTTCGAGCGGCTGGCGCAAAACAACCACCATGCGCCTGCCAATGTGGCCGCGTACAGTAGCTTCCAGCAGCGCAACGTCTCGTCCGCATCGAGCGTCGACTTTGAGATGCCCGAGTTGCAAAACCGGATGCGTGCCCGGCGCCAAGACGACAACCAGAGTACACCACCCTCCAAATCTTGTATCGCGACATGCCGTTATGTGCACAATGTAGGTGAATTCATGGAGAGCGTGCGCTCGATCCGACTCGGGAGCGGCTGGGACGTTGACAATCGGACGGACCTCTTTACGGCCGACAACTTTGGCGAGTCGGACGTCTCATTCGACACGCTCGACCGCGCGTGGTCGACGCACTTTAAGAAGCAAGGCTCGGGCTCGTCGGTCGCGTCAACCAACTATGCGTACCCGCCACCCCAGGGATACGCGCCAGAGCCGCCGTCGTATTCGCAGCCGCCGAGTTTTGAGGCGCCGCCTGCCTACTATGGCCGGCCGCCGAGCAACAACAGCAGCACGGGGCTCGACCACGCGATGGCCCGCCTGCACGTGCAGGACCACAGCTACGAGCCGTCGCCGTACCAGTACCGCTAACGTTAAGTCGCTATTGCACCACACCGACCCTGGTGTGGTATTTTCATCTAGTTTAGCATCATCATCGATGCATGTTTATCTGCGTACTGTGTCATCTTGGGCGCGAGCCTCTTCTGGCATGCATAAGATGGAATAAGATCTATATCTATTCAACGAAAAAGGGCAAGGTGCCAAAGGCAATATGGCCAAAAGGCAATATGGCCACGGGGTGTCGATCGATGCGGGTACGTATATCAGTGGTATCCCACTCTCGTCAAGCGTTGGACGTACGAAGTAATGCCGTAACTTGCACCATTTTTACGATGCCCGCCGACGACGTGCTGCCTGGCCACGTCGTGCGCGAGCTCAAGCGCGACGCGCTCGGTGTCTGCCACGCTGTCCTCGCCAACCTCAGCGCGCTTCAAGCCGCGCCGCTGTACGCCAAGCACCTCGACCCGACGTGCCTCCGCCGCATGGAGCTTCGTCGCGGCCTCGACACCATCGACGCAGACCTCAGCGCGATGCTCGGGCGCACTTCGCTCGCTGCGTCCCTCGACGAGATTGCCATGCACCTACCTACGAGCAAAGGTGGCTACTTGAGCCCCGACGCTGTGCAGTACGAACAGCTTGCGCGGCTTGCGGGTCCGACGCGGGACAAGCCGTGGCAGTCAACGGTGGTCGCATGGCTTGGCATCGGCGCCACCGACTACTGCGTCGTCGAGACCCAGCTCGGCTTCACGGGCGCGAGTGCCCAGCGTGGCTTGCTCCGCGTTGTGTACGCTGTCGAGCTGCCGCACAACTTGTGCCCGCCTCGGCGCGGCTTCCACCGAGGGGCGTACCTTCGGGTCGGCCATATCTTTTTGGAGCCGCCGCCGTCGAAAGCGCACTGCGGCGCAACGGTCGACGCCCATGCGATCGTGCTGCTCCCGGCCACTGATTCAAACCTCGCGCTCGTGCGCTGCCAGATCACGTCGCTCATGGGCTTGATCGGCTACTTCCAGCGACAGCGTTTGACCAAAGCGGCGGTGGCCCTCGCGAATTGGCGCCGGTCCCCGAGCTACAGCCCGCGCTGGGTCGAGCCGAAAGCGACTGCCAAGCGCTGCGCCGTGTGTCAACGTCGGTTCCACCCGCTTCGACCAAAGACACACTGTGAGCTCGACGGGCGCGTCGTGTGTTTTGGGTGCTCGGCCAAGTGGATGCTACTGCCGAGCCCGGGGGCCCGCCCGATCCGCGTCCGCATCTGCGACGACTGCGTCCAAGCTGCGGTGACCAAAGGCCCGCTGGGTGTCGGTCCCAAGCCTATAGCGCCAGGGAGCCCCGAGAACTCGAGTCGGCTACTGCCGACGCTCTCGAGCCTTACCGGGAGCCGCTTGGACATGACGACACGGACGCCACGGCGCATGACGCTGGTGCCAGAGATGCCCCTCTTGAGCGACATTGACGAGGATCAGCAGCAGCGAGCCTGAGAATCAAATGTGGATTGCTTGTGTGCATTGTCAGACGCTGTGGAAGGGCATGCCAGCGGGACCACCCACGTAGGAAGAGTAATACTTTGGGTTGATCGCGATAGCAAAGCGCGAGCGACCACAAAACCAGATTCGCAGTCGACGACGAGGTGGGTCGTACGTGGGCGGCATCTGAGAACGGGTGGTGATGCGTCAACGCTGCACCTGTGTATTCGACGGACGGTACACCAGACCTCTTGGACCTCTTGGACCTCTTGGGTAAACTCGTGTCTGACTCTGGACGGCCACGGAACCTGATTCAGCGGCTGCGACAGTCGACAGCGTGGCAACGGCGCTTACGGATACCGCGCCATTCGTGGCTTCAGCACGAACGACCAAGCGATCAAGACGTGCGCAGCCGCGCGCGACGAATCTGACGCGGCTTTTCGCCTCCGTCGTCCCACCGAGGACAGACCGTGCTCCGTAGCAACCCTTTTTTTGTTCTCGTGGGTCTATGGAGGTAGGACCCCAGAGAATTGGAGTACGACGTACAGGAGGGACCCATTAAATGCAACACTGCGCGTCCATGGCCACCTCGTTGCCGTCAAGTCCAACGGTGCTCGGTGGCGCTTGAACCGCAAATGCCACCGGTGGTGCGAGTCGAAGTTGAAGGGCGTTGGTCGGTTGCTGGGTCAGGTTACATGTGACCTTTCTGAACTAAGGTTGAGGGGTATGCTAGAAAGCTTACGTGGGCTTTACCGTCATGCACCACGGGGCAATGCTGCTCAACGGTCCAGAGGTCGTCATCGGCATGGTTATCACGGAAAACCTCCAAGAATCCATACACTGGATCTATGCATTGTAACGATATTTGCCATTTGCTGGCAGCGATGGTAGAGCCAGTTGTCCGACTGGCCCTCGCCGTCGATGCCCCACCTGCCGCTACCGCCGTCCTTCTTCCACTGCCCGCCGCTGGAGACGCATGAGCGCGTCTCGCTGATAGCAGACGCGCGCGACGCCTGCCGCGACACGATCCTCAACGCCAAGGCGCTCGCCGGCGCGGCGCCCGTGTACCAGACGTTCACGCACCCGCAGACGCAGCGGCGTCTCACGGTGCGCCTTGGCGCCGACCTCCAGAACCCCAACGAGATCTGCATGAGCGCCCACACGCTCGTCAACGCCTCGATCGACGCTGTTGCGGACGTCTATGCCAACTTTGCAACGTCCAGCACGAGCAAGAACCCGGTCTTGGCCAGCGATGTGCTGGACCGCGTCCGCCTGTACGAACTCGTCGCACGGCGAGAGGTCGCCGAAGCGCCGTTGCATGCTGTGTACTTGCAGTGGATGGCGCTGCGCACACCGCCCGTCATTGCGAATCGCGACTTTTGCTATCTCGAGGTGCGCCCTGTGCATCTTGCCCGGCTTGTAACCAGCTGCATCCTTAGTGCCACGATGAATTCCTCGATGGACCGGCACGGCAACGCGGCTTTGTCCGAAGCGTGCACTCGGTCGACGCAGCGTGCTGTCCGCCGCTCAGCGCGGCGTACGGTCTCACGCGCGGCCACTTTCTGCGCTCCGGCCAAGTCTTTATCGAAGCATCGAGCGACGAGGTCGGGGCGCTCGACGCCTACCACGTGCTCGTCTTGCAGCTGAAAGGCAATGTACCCAAGGACATTCAGGTGCGAGCGCACGCCCGTTCATACGTCACGCCATGCGTAGATCTCGGTGATGCTCTCGCTCTTGCTCCAAGCGTGCGAGCTCGATACCCACTTTCGCGCCGAGCAGCTCTGCGCTGTCCAGCTCGTGCCATTGTCCATAGTCCGCGCACAGCCCAAGGCGGTCGCGTGCCGACGGTGTACGCGGCCGTTCCGCAAAAACCTCTTTCAGTCGGCCAAGCAATTCCGGTGTCGCATGTGTGGCCACGCTGTCTGCCGCGCCTGCCACCACGTATGGCGCCTCGGCGGCTCGGAGGCGCGCATTTGCGTGGCCTGCGCCGAGATGGCCAAGCCGAACGCGCCCATGCCTGTCGCCGCGACCGCGTCGCCCGTGCCGTGTCTCGACGAAGAGAGTGCGATCGTACCTGTCTTGTACGGGCGACTCTCGGATGCGAAGCGCAAGCGGCGCGCCGAGACCAAGACAGATGTGTCACCGCTCGAGCGCCACGTGTGGAACGAACGCCTCGCGCTCACGTCGACGTCCTGACTCAGTCAGGACTGTACTATGTGTAGAGTAAGTTGTGTATCGTAGATATCTCCTTTCTGGCTACTTGTTGAATTTGCGGAGCCCCTTGAATGCGCCACCGACATTGAAGCGCGCGATGTGATTTTTCATTTTTGCACCCACCCCCCTCGTGGCAGCACGAGCGAGGCGCTGTTGACTCAGATGGCACCAATCACGAAACGGCAAAAGGCGGCCACGTGGCAGCACGACTCGTTGCATCTTCGACGACAGCCAGGTGGCAAGCCTGAGAACATCAACATCAAGACCGAATGCGTCCCTATCCTTCGCACCACAGGGTCGTCGATCGTCTGCTTTGGTCCCGACCGCTCCATCGTTCGCATAGTGTCCGAACAGGTCGTCGAGCTCGCAGCTGTGGGTTTGGCCACGTGGCATCCTCAACGTCTTTTCCCCAAATCGCTGCGATGGACGATTGCTATAGCTCAGCGAGTGCGTCAACCGAGATTTTTCAGGTGGTAGGTTCAAAAATGCACTTCAACAATGCCGCATGGGTGTGCGTCTTCCTTCTCCGCAGCCGCCGGCCACGAAGGATTGCACGACGAGAGGTGGACGATACGACACATTTCACACCGAAAGGAATAAAAGACGGTCCTGGTAGTAAAAAAGAACGATTCACAAATAAAAGAACGATGCAAGGGCGTTTAAAAAAGACAATTCAGCAAAATAATAACGGCGACAACACGAGGCGGTATGGTACAGGCACGGCGACGACATGGACGACGACATGGACGACACTGCGCTTTACGAATGGTACGCCACGGGCTGGCTGCCCCAGCGCGCGTACGCCGGCTCGGCCTCGTGGCTTGGCTCGTAGTAGTCGTACGCCGCCCGTGGCGAGAGGAGGTCGGCCCGCAACGGCTCACTGTACTGCGCGTGCGACGGCGCATAGTACTCTCGCCGCCCGTTGAAGGCGTGGTAGCTGTTCTCAGCCTTGCTCGTTGGTGCCTGGCGGTAGGTGGGCGGCGCAAACTTGTAGCGTCCGTCGTCGTACTCGTTGCCATGGTAGACGTCGCGCGGCGACGGGTCGTACGTCGGGTACGCCTGCACGTAGTGGTGCTGGTGCTGCGCCACCTGCGCCGACGGCTGGTAGTGCGTCGTCGCCGGCAGCGGCTTGAGGAACGACGGCGAGAGCGGCGGCGGCGACGGGTGGTGGTCCCAGTTGAACTGGCGCGTCGGCAACGGTGCGCGGTTCTCAGTCTCGTGGATGTCGTGCCAGCTGCTACTCAACATGGGCGAGAGCGGCTTGCCCATGAGCTTGCGGCCTTGCGGGCGGAGCGACGGGTCGTCTTGAAAGAGCTTGAGCTTTTCGTTGCGGCGCTTGGCGTCGAGCTTCTTCTGGTGCGCGCAGGCCTTGGTGCGGTGGTACTCGCAGAGCGTGTGGAGCGTGCCATTCTTCTTGGTGGCGCGCGGCAGCTTGCACTTGCCGTGGCTGTACCGGCACGTCGCGAGCTCGCCCATGAAAACAGTGGTCGCCGGAGAAGGCAAAAGGGGAAATGACGACGCGTCGGCTGCTGGGTAAACGGCCGAAACACCTGGCGCTTGTGAGCTTCTTGCGACGACCAACTGGCATGTATTCTCAACCGCGTTCTCAGATCGTTGACCACACGGGGTGTGGGATATGCAGGGCATCAGTTGCCGTCAAGCAAACACGACGAATCTGCTCATACTCCGCAAAGCCACAGTACCAAAGAACCACGTTTCTCGAACCACTTGACAGTATGGACCGCTTCGGTTGGGTACGTCGTTGCAAGCAGGAGTAGTCAAAGCACTACGTCTTAGTTTCAGTCGCAGCGTGCAGATCCCACCGAGAGGATCAGACGGGCAGCACAGTGGCCCGATTCGGCCTCTGCAACAAGACGAACGCACCAGCTGGGGAAGATACCACGTGTGTTCTGCCTGGCTACTCGGACGCGCCACCCTGAGCCCGCGTCTGCTGCTCACCAACATGCCGTGGCTATGGCGAGGAATCTGGCCGCCGACATAGACTTTGCAAGCGACGACGACGCGACGGCGTAGCGCCACGGACCCCGGCGATGGTCCACTTCAGGTCGGTGCGTTACGGACATTTACCTGGGTGCGAGCACTGACAGACGCGAAAGCAGATGGGCCCGTCCCCACCGCACGACCTGGGTTGCTCAGACAGCAATATCAGATCGCTGTGAATGACACGGCCGTGGCAGGAGCGTCACCAAGCAGAGTAGAGTGCGAAGCGCCTCGAGACCCACGGCGCGGCCAGAAATGTGTTCGAGTCCTTCGCTGTCCGCATGGGACCATGACGGACCAGCGAGGTTCATGATGGGGATATTGCGCAACAAGCTACTTGCGCGTTCTCTGCAACCTGGGGTGGGGGCCGTTTGTATTTTGCGTTTTGCGCCCACCGACTCAGACTGGATTTTTTCTGCCCAGGACCAAGACTCTGGCACATACCACGTGGCAGCTCGACGGGACGTTGCGAACACCAGAGGTCTGTCGGCCCAGATCGATAGTTCGAGTCCAAGCAGAGATTATGTGGTGGTGAGCTGTATATCAGGCGCGGAGCGATGTAGCAGCAGCGCTCGTTGGCTCGAGCAATGGCCGGCGAGTAGCCATCGGCGCGTCCACTCTTCTGCACACCCATATCTTGTCCGCAGTCTTCTTCCTCCCACGTCCAAGCTGTAAAGAAAGGTAGCTTTCACCCGAGTCATGGTCCAACAAGACAGCCACGTACGAGCACACGTCGGCCGCGTCTGAGCAGTGATAGCATCTTAGCGCAGGGGATCCTACCACGATCAGAACGCACCCTTGTCTCGGACTGATTGAGAACCAATACGACGACGTGGCCCAAGCCTCCCACGGCTGATACTGTGCAAAGTGCAGGGAGCGGTGCGGAGATACCTCGGGGGTAGGATACAGTGCGCCCTTGGTAATAATCGCAATCTGATCGCTGTGTCGAGTCAAAGCCGGCTTGGATAACACACACGATCAGATCTGCTGTCTACGATGCACGCTACAGAAGCAACGAGCCGACGACGACCACCGCAGAAGCGCAGCCGACCAGGGAGGATTCCGCGACGATCTCTCGGCAACAAGAAAAAGAAGCCACGACCGCGACATGCTCTGAAATATTTCAGAAAGTTTGGCTGCCTCAACAAAGCTGCTTCAATCTCTGAGATTCGACTGCTCGTCCCGAGAACGCAGATCAGTTCGTGTGCCAAATCGCTCAGACTTCTCAGTCAATGGCACACATACAATACAGTACTCGTCTCTGTGTCCCCACCAACCAGAAAAAGCGAGTCCTCTAAACTAGATTCCTAGGATAACGGACCATGCCTCTGTCGTCGTCGATAGCGCATCTTCGACGGGCTTCGAACCCACAAGACCGCCACATTCTACGCCTCGCTCGACCAGGCCACGTTGCTCACCGAGTCGACAGAGAACCGATTCTTCCGTTCCTGCACCTGAGTACACCAGAGACTCTGCCCGCTCTGCGATGTGCCCGCCCGCGAAACGTATGACCATCTTCTAGTGCGCTGTCCATTCATCCGCGCGGTCTGGCGCGCTTTTGACCCGATGCGCGATATCTTGCAGCTGCAACTTCCGTCGTCGGTCGGTGGATCCCTCTACGATGCAGTCGCTCTGCCGTTCTCAGCCCACAAGTCGACCATCCGTGCCCTCTGGCCGATCTTGCGCGCTTGCGTCTGGTCCACTGGTCCAGTCTTTTGCTCGAACGACATTGACGCCCCTTCCCGCTGCTGGGCTCGCGATCAAAGCCGCTACCTACTATCACGCGATTGCATATCCGGCACTTGGCTTGCCGCGCCGTCGTGCCTTCGCTGGTCGAGTCGCTGTATGCCCTACGCGCCGACCCTTGGTGCGCTCACTATCTCATTCCCACTCAATCCCGAGCCCCGACCACGCGCCCTCAGCTTGACGTACCGGCCAAACCTCACAAGCGCATAAGGAAGTCCACCACCTTCACCATATAATTGCATGTTCATAGCTCATTTCAACAGCAGCTGAGGTGACTCGGGGCTGGATAGACCATACGCCAAGTGGCATTAACGCCGTGTAGTCCTAGGTTCGATAGCAAGAACTCGGAGGACGCTGGCGCGTTCCTTCGGATCCCGCCGCTGTCATGTGGTCGCCCCGCTCGATTTCGCGTGTCATCCGGATATACCACCGTGGGATGGATGTTGGCATTAAAGTAACTTATAAAATGTATGTAGTAAAAAACAATCCCAAACCGATGCGCATATCCGGATAAAATATCGCGTGACACACGTGGCGTGCTCACCCATGGTGCTCACCGCGCCAGATCGATACCAGACCGATACCAGATCGATACCAGTGTAGAATGAGAAAGCACACCACAAGCAATTTGTAGCGTGTTGCATTAACACGACACGTCGTCGCGCTGGCTAGTTGTAGACCATGTACTTGGGCGTCGACGAGAACTTTTGGTAGCCCTTGATGACCTTGTTGACCGACTCGAGAAAGTCCTTCTCGCTCACCGACTTGCGCCGGGCGCGGATCGCATACATACCGGCCTCTGTGCACACACTGCGGAGCTCGGCACCTGGGCAGTACGTCAGACTAAGATCTCAGCGAGGTCGATCTACCCGTCGTGTTGGGGCAGAGGCGCGCAATGAGCTCAAAGCGAATGTTGCGGTCGCAGCTCATGCTCTTGGCGTGGATCTGCAGAATCTGCGTGCGGCCTTCGAGCTCCGGCACGTTAAACTCGACCTTCCGGTCCAAGCGGCCGGGACGCATGAGCGCCGGGTCCAATGTGTCGGGTCGGTTCGTCGCCATGAGCACCTACGTCCATCATCGTCAGGCGTGCGTGTCGGGATACAACCAACCTTGATGTTGCCGCGTGGGTCGAAACCATCGAGCTCCGTGACGATCTGCAGCATCGTGCGCTGGACTTCGTTGTCGGTACCGCCTTCCTCCTGCATGATGACGATGAGAGGGGTTGCAAGTCAAGCACGAGCGACGTACCGAGCTGGAGCGAGCGCCACCAATCGCGTCGACTTCATCGAAGAAGACGATGCACGCCTTCTTGGAGCGCGCCATGGTGAAGAGTTCGCGGACCATGCGCGCGCCTTCGCCAACGTACTTTTGGACGAGCTCGCTGCCAATGACGCGGATGAAGCACGCGTCCGTGCGGTTGGCGACGGCGCGCGCCGAGAGCGTCTTACCCGTTCCGGGCGGGCCGTAGAGGAGGACGCCCTTGGGCGGATCGATACCGAGGCTCACAAAGCGCTCCGGGTGCAGCAGCGGCAGCTCGACGACTTCGCGCAGCTTCTCGAGCGACTCCTTGCAGCCACCGACATCATCGTACGTGACATCGGGCTTGTCTTCGACCGTCATGAGCGAGACCTACAGTGTGTTTTAGTTCAAGATGCACGGCGACAAAGGCGCCCACCGTCGGGTCAATCTTGGGCGGCAGCGGGATCTGGATCGCATACTTGGTGCGGTCGACGCCGACGCGCATGCCCTCTTCGATATCCGTGGGCGCGACCTTCTCGCCGAGGCCCACGACAAACTTGGCGATCTGCTTGACGTTAATCATGTACTTGGCGTCGTCTTCGCCCGCGTTGATGATCTTGGTGCAGCGTGCAACCTGGAGCGGCTGCTCCTCCTGCATCATCTGCTTGTCGCTGACGAGATCCCACTGCGACGGGAGCGAGAGGCCCGTGTCGCTCTCCTTGATGCCCACAAGGTCGTTGACGCTCTGCTGGACCTTCTTGATATCGTCCTCGACGGACTTGATCGCGCGCGTGTAGGGCCCGAGGCCGTACGTCTTGAGGAGCGCAATGTCGCCTTCGTCGAGCACCTTGGACGGGGCCTCATTCAGCTCATCCTCGTTGTCGTAGTCCTTGGTGTTCGTCGTCTGGCATTCCCCGCGGCCGGCCATCGTGCTCCTTCCCCCGTGACGAATATGGAAATCTACCCAATCTGGACGAGCAGCCCCAGGTTCCATGCCGTTTCATTGGACGAAAAAGAGGCTCATCCACAGTTTGGCGCAAGGCCATTCGCGAAAAAGAATTCATTTTGACCAATCACTCCTCGTGGGACGCCGAACTCGGTTGCTTATTTTCGGCAGTGCGGCAATTGCCGATTGCTGCCACCCGCGTTTCTGGTTTTGCCAGCAGCAGGGGCAGCAGCATGCGCGTTGGCGTCGTCGGGCTCGGCGCCGTCGGCTCCATCTTCTTCAACCGGCTGCTGCACCACATCAACCCGCTCAACATTGCTGGCGCCAAAAGCGCCAACCGCGTCTTCGCGCTCGTCAAGCCGCAGCACCTGCCTCGCCTCGAGAGCGTCGCCCTCTACGAGCGTGGCCAGCCTGACCCGATCCTGCACGTGCCCGTGCGCACGCCGCCAAACGCGCTCGCGCTCACGACTGGCGCCGACAAGCGCGTCACGGACCCGCTCGACGTCGTGTTCATCGCCGTCAAGTCGAACGACACGCTCGACGTAGCCCAGCAGCTCGCCGTACCGTTCTCCCACCTCTTCGCCGGCCACTGACGCACGCTGCATAGGCGTCCCCCTTGATCGGGAAGAACTCGCTCTTGATTTCGCTTCAGAACGGTACTTTGCCCGTTATGAATAGCGACACGAGCCATGGCTGGTAGGTCTCGGGAACGTCCAGACGCTGCGAGAGACCCTCGCGACCGAGAACGTCCTCCATGGGGTCACTTACATGGGCGGTCAATGTATATCGCCAGGCCACGTGATCCTCGGCGGCCAAGGCTCGACGATCCTCCAAGGCGCGGACGATTTAAGCGACCTCCAGCAACTCCACCTCGATCGTCTCTGCAAGCTCCTCGACGCAGCCCGTACACGCAAATGTAATGGCCGCAACTCACCGGTGGACCTAGAGCTGCATACAACTGTCGTCAACTCCAGCGACGTACAGTCGGTGATCTGGACCAAGCTGCTCGTGAACGCCGGTATTAATCCGCTCGCGTCCATTTTGGACCGCCCGAATCTCGTACGCGTCCTTTCTACAGAGTGGGGCGAGACGCAACGTGTAGTGTGTGACGCACGGCGACTCGAACCGCTACATTGTCGAGTCGGTCGTCAACGAAGTCGCGGCAGTCGCGGCCGCCGAGGGCATCTCGCTGCAGCTCCACGGCAAGAGCCCGTTGGCGTACACGCTGGACGTGGCGACTGCGACAGCGACCAACGTCTGCTCGATGCTCCACGACATTCGGGCGCGAAAGCCTACGGAGATTGGGGCCATCAACGAAATGGTCGTGTACTACGGGCAGCGCCATGGCATTCCGACGCCAACGAACCAGCTCTTGGTGCACCTCGTCCGAGGCCTCGAGTCGCGCTTCGCGGCATAAGCCAGCAGCAAATATATAAACGAGTAGAAAAAGCTAGAGCTACGTGGGCATGTCGGAGAGCAGGTGCACGCAGTCGAGGAAGAGGTCGGCGCTGTTGCTGCGCTCGCGCGACGATGCAGATTTGAGCATATCGACGCGCAGCTTGGGCTTGACGGGCCGGTCCAGCGGCATGACCTTGATGCCCTCGCTCGAGAACGAGTCGGGGCTTGTCGGCGCGTTGGGCGTCATCATCTGGTTTTGGTCGTAGCACAGCGTGTGCTTGGCGTCCGGTGGTGTCCACGCGGTCGGGTTGTTGGTCAGCGTAAAGGCTGGGGGCGTCCACGAGTCCGGGTCGCTCGGCATGAGCCGACGCTGTGGCGGAAAGAGCTGTGACACGGTCGTGGGCGCCGAGGCGGCCGCGGCCTGCTTCTTGGCGAGCTCCTCGGCCTGCTTGATCTGGAGTGGCTTGACCACGCGCACAGCGCGACGGCTGACCTGGTCGCGTTGCTTGGCAGCTTGGCGCTGTCGGCGCCGCGACGTCGAGTACCAATGGTTCTTGATCGCATTGTCCGTTCTACGCATCAAGATACTGCTCCGCGTGTTGCACGTGGTGATCATACCGGCCCGGAAGGAGCTTGGCGATCTCGGCCCACCGGTTGCCGACGCGCGCTTGCGCTGAAAAGATGATTTCGGTCTCGTCGGCACGCCACGGCGCTTTGTCGATCGACGGGTCGAGAAAGTTCAACCATCTACATGGCATCGTTTGGTCATGACGTCATTGTCGTTATCGAGAGGCGCACCGTGTCCGGCATTGCTTGGGCGTGCGCCCGGGCAGAAGCTTGGCAATCTTGGACCAGCGTTTCGTGCCAAATGACTTGACAAACTGCAAGATGGCGGCGTCGTCCTCGGCGTTCCACTGCTTGCGCCGGTCGGTCGTCCCCGGCGCCGGGTCCTCGGACTCGTACTCTTCTTCGTCGTCGGGCTCGGCCACGCGGCCATTGTCGTCTACCGCGAAGGTCCTCTCCATGCTGGCGCCGCTGCTATCGTCCACGTCCACCTTGATTGGCGTCGTTGGGCTCGCCGTTTATAAATAAGACCCTCTGACGCACCAAGCCATATCTTTTCTCCTCAAGCTCGGAGACGTTGCGAGAAATTCCATTCATGTATCCTATCAACAGCGGATTTGGCTTTTGGGCTCTGAGTATGTGGGGTACCTTGTGCGTAATAAGTTGATACCTACTGCAAGAGTTAATACAGCATGCCGATTGGTTGAAAAGAACAGCTTGCCATGGCACGATTGGCCAGATTTAAACTTGGGATGAGTATACTCGACTGGGCAATCTGTAACGGAAATGGACGTTCGTCGCGGATTGGCTACTGCGCTGGAGTCAAAGTTGCCGTATTTAATTCAAATATCGCCACATTTACCTAAGGTTTGTATGCTTCTTTAAAAAATATGGAATTAAATGCGCCCTGGCGACTGAGGCAAGGCAACTTGGGTCATTTTGACGTCGTTGGCACCGCATTCGGTCAACTAACTACAAGTCGGTACGTCTTCGACTAGGTTCTGTGCCTGACTAAGCTTACATGGACGCATATAGCTAGCTTGATTCTACAACTCGTTGAGCTGGAAACACGACGCTCCATCGTCCTCGTGGAGCACGGCGAGATGGCGCCAGGGTTCAACTGCCCATCCTGATGAGTGAAGCTCCGTGGATACCAGAAATACAGAATCCCATACACTGTATTTCATGATACTGCAGTTGTTGATTGGGCAACACCCAAGACCATTCGTGATAGTGTTCTTATTAGAGAGACAACACTGTGTTCAACGTGGCGTTGGTCAAGAACGGTGTCAAAAAGTCTTGTGCGGACGAGAGCCGCGCCGAGACGTCGATCCCGGATTGGCAGTCGATGCCAAAGCTATCGACGCCGACGAGGACCTGCGAGCCGTTGGCGACGATGGTCAAGGGACCGCCCGAGTTGCGACTGCATTGGTTGCGCTGCGACTCGGCTTCAGTGCACAGACTCGTAGCGCTGAGCTGGGTAAACACACTTTGACACGCACCTTGGCTCAGCACCGTGGCGGTCTCGACAGATCGATTGCCAGCGGCATCCGGCCAGCCGTACACGGTTGCCGAGACGCCGGCGGGCACAAGTGGGTTAAAGTCGAGCGCGATCGGAGGGTAGCTTGACGGCGAGGCGAGGATAAGCACGCCAACGTCATTCGTCGTTGACCAGTTGAGGGCATCGTACGTGTAGTTGGGGTGCACGACGCTCTGAATGACCGCGATCTGCTCGCCAGTGCCGTTGGCGTTCACTGCGCCAATCGAGACGTACTGCGCGGGCAAGAACTGATACACGCGGATTTGAACTTGTGTGAAGAGGCAGTGCGCCGCCGTGAGCACGAGACGGGGTGCAATGAGCGTGCCGGCGCAGCGGTTGGCGCCGTTGATCGAGTCGCGGACGCCCGCAACAAAGGTGGCGTCTGGCGCGGGGTTGCCACCATGAAGCATGGGCCACCCCAAGACGTTCGTCGCGACCAGCGCAGTGAGGCCAAGCGTGCGGAGTGCGGCGAGCATGGTCAGTTGTGGAATGAGCGACGCTGACAGCGTATCCTTGCCGCGCTCTGATTGGCCCATTTCCTGGACGCGAAACGACGAACAACCCAGCCAACTCCCAGCCCAAGCTTTTTCAACCCAGCGCAGAGCGATGGATAGAAGTGCTGGATAGATAGGCATGTAGTAGCACTCATCGAGCCAAGATAGTACATCCTTGCTTGTCAGCTTCATGGACTGTTGTCGCAAAAAATGAGTTTGCCGAGGCTCGGCCCTGCGCAGTTCAAGCATATCTATTATATATTGAAGGATATCGACTGCCACGGTTTTGGACTCTTTTTATTTCTTATTACACGACTGCACAAACGATTGGTTTATGCAGGTACATGAAAATAGAGGTTTAGCTTCAACCCCCCGCACAGCTGCGGCGCTTTGATTTCGAGATGACTCCTGTCGACCAGCAGTCCGTCCCAGCTGCACGCGCGTCAGCTCACGTGCTCCGAGCCAGAGCTGGTTGCCAGCTGCAGCAACCGACACGCCACGATTCGCTCAATTCGACTAGGACCGCCCCGTGCTGATGTCGGCCAGCGACAGAGTTGAAACATTGAAAATGGGATTGAAATTACTTGGCGAGGAAAGGCTGGATGAACGACTTGCCGGACGAGATGCGGCCATAGATGCCGATGCCGCCGCCGCAGCCCGCGCCGTAGCTGTCGACGCCAATGAGCACCTCCTTTCCGTCCTTCTTGACCGTGAGCGGGCCGCCCGAGTCGCCGGCGCAGAGGTCGCTGACCGAGCTCGCGGCCGTGCAAATGTGGACGGGCTGCACCTGCGGGTACGCGGCCTTGCACTCGTCGGGCTTTTGGATCGTCGCGAGCTCGACCTTGAGCGTCGTCGGGTCCTTGGATTTGGGCTGGTGCGGCCAGCCGCGCACCATGGCGGTCGTGCCGGGCGCGTTCACGCTGTCGTCTTCAAAGTAAATGTCGAGCGGCGTAAACTTGGACGCTTTTTCGAGGACGAGGATCGCAAAGTCGTACTGGGACTCCCAGTAGACGCTGTTGAACGAGTAGTTGCCATGCGGCGCGCTCTGCGTCACCTTGATGAGCTCCGAGTCATTGTCTGTCCCGTTGGCGTAGTGCGACCCGATCGAGACGTAGTTGACGGGCGTGAACTGGTACTGGCGCGGGCCCACCTGCTTGAAGAGGCAGTGCGCCGACGTCAAGACCGCCGTTGGCGCGATGAGCGTGCCCGCGCAGCGGTTGAGCCCGTCGGCCGTGTCACGAAGACCGGCCACAAAGGTGGCATTGCCCTTGGCTTCTTCGGAGCCGGCAAAGATCATCTTGTGGTCTGACTCGAAGATATGGCCGGCAGCGAGGGTCGCGGCGGCGGCGGTGAGCGCAAGCTGGAGCTGCATGGCGGCAAAAGGGAATGTGAGCCATCTCCGTCGTCGTCGTCGGGATGTGGCGATCCTCGCCGAGATCCGCCGTTCCGGATTGGCTGGCACGCATATCGAACCTCATGTCGCACGCAGACTTCCTTAATATAATGACACAGTGTATTACATAATGCAGGTTTTTTACTCTATAAAATGATCCCAACATTTCGTGGCAAGTATGCAATGTAAGAGGCTATGTATAATGAAGGGAAATAAGAACTGCCTATCATGGAGGCGCGGCTGCATGCAAGAAGCTTGCCATGTACTATGTACGCAGTGACCTCATGCACCCACTGATTCGAAACGAGAGCTTGAACTCGAAGCCAGCTCGACTCGGCGGTCGCTAGCCCAAACGTATCTCCACTACCGGGCGTCTTGCCGTCGCCGTGAATATATTGGGGCGACACCATAGCAAGAGCTCTGGCACTGTATATCCGAGAGGGTCAGTTGGCCACAGCTTGTTCACAGCTTGAGATGGCGCTGCGTTCAGGCTGCTGCGTTCGACGGGTGGGGCTCGGGCTGCATTATCACCTTTGTGAACGTTCACAAGTGGGTGGCGTCCGGTACAAAGCTGCGAGATGCCCTTTGATGCGCCAGCGTCGTCGGCCGCTCCACCTCAAGTGGATGCACGCAGCTTGTGGCGACACTGAGATCACCCAAGCAAGCGCTTGCTGCAGCATCGATACTTAAACAGCTTGTTGGCTCTGATGTCACCGCCAATGTGAAAGAGAAGAAACGGGGCTTGAATCCGCATGTGAAGCAGGAATCCACGACGCAAAAGATGACTCACTCGTTCACAAAAAGTAAAAGAGGAAGTGCGCATGAAGAGGCCCAGATCTAGAACACACAGGCAAGTGGGCTCAAGCCCACATGTGTAGCGCCAGGCAACAAGTTAACCTGCCTCGCCCACCACTGGCATGGCGGGCATTATGTGACCGCTTCCGCCACGAAGACAACGCCAGACAAAGGGAGGCCGTACTCCCAAACACCGGCGTGTGTACTACGAGGCAAATAGGAAAGTGACAGTCTACTGGCTGCTGCCAAAGATTGTACAGTCTCACATCAACGGGCTTCTCCCGTAGGACTAAACATGCAAACACACATCGCCTTGTCCCGGCCTAGTGGTGTTGACGTGGGCTAGGCTCACACCCAGTGCCCCACCACTGCATGCGACCAACGGTCACACATTAACATGGTTGGTGCCCCCGAAGTTGTTTGCTCTTGATTGAGGCACTACATGAATCACGCAATGGAACTATTGCGTCGAGGCAGAAGCAGCTTTTGAGTCGCCGTGGCTTGGACCGCTCAACGATCGATGCGGGTCGAGCATCGCCCTCACGAGGCCTTGTCACCCTCCACAAACGCTTTCCATAGATCCTTGCTTCCATCGGACCAAGCTTCTTGGTAGAGACAACGTACAGTGCACCTAACGCTTGACTGCGGTCTCGTCGTCCAAGGGAGCCCCACACACGCACTCGGATCGATCGATGCCCATAAGCGATTCGTCGACGACGTGCAGTAGGCAAGAAGGAGCTGGTGAATGCTCATATTATTTTGGCGATCGTCCTACGTCGGGAGGCCTTGCCTCATTCCCCACAACCAACTTCATATTTTTCACGTGGGCTCGCCAAGGGCATAAATCAAAGGCTCTCATAGGTCGCTAAGGCGCGGGTTGCTGCGTGTGTGTTCTCTGCTTGCACGTGACGATCGTCTTGGAGTGCTCGTGTCGGATGGCGCCTGCAGATTCGCGTGACACTACTACCATCGCCTCTACCGACGTGGTGTCTTCTACCCTCGACAACTTCGCTCGGGATTCACTCGCGATTCGAGTCCGTCATTCCATGGTTGCACTACCCCATCGCCAATAGATAACGTCAGAACGAAAAGGAAGCATCCACGAGGAAGACGCATTCGGAAGCGGCATGTCTCCACCTGCATGCCGGTGCGTGAGCTACTACGTCATTAGGTCGATCGACATACGATTGAAGACGCCCTGGTATTCTGTGGTAGCGTGTATGGTGAGCGTAACGCGCTCGGCTCACTGGCGCCAGGTCGTCACGCCGTTTGTGGTCTTCTGCAATCAGTGACCATATGGTGCAACACGTGCTGTCTGTGTAGGTGTATCCATCATTCTGGTCGCCGGTTCCTTGAAGATTCGACGCTCCTCGCTTCGTGACTGCCGCAAAGCAGCATTCGAGCAATACATATCGCTCGCCGTGGTCTCCGCAGCCTCTCTCATCGGTCGTCGATGCGGCACCTCAGAGTCCACCAAAGTAGCCTGTTGGCACGGCCGTGACCAGTGCCAGCCATCCGGACGCGCCAGATGCACTCGTGGCCAAACGCTGTGGTCGTGCCGGCGTAGTCTGGTCCCAACCTGCAGTCTGCCGTCGGTTGAGGGTACATTATGTATCTAACATGCTGAGCGTCCAATGTCGGCTTCGTCATCGAATCTTTCGTCCCTTTTCCCTCTCTTTCGAGGTTCGAGGTGGTAAGCACGCGTGCAGTGGTCGGACAGCGCTCGACTGACAACCGCGCCATTTCGTAATCGAAACGAGCGTCTCGATGGCGGTATGCAAATGGCACTCCAATTTGATTAGCTTAGTTTGGAAATCTTTCTCTAATACCACAGGTCTACGCTTGGGATTCCAGCGACCACGACGTCCTTCATAGAAGCGCGTCGCCATAGGAAAGGGGTGTGACCTGCACATGTTGTTTGTGCTCAAATGGAGCATGCTCGGATCTCGCGTGGGTGTCACGACCTGGCCTGCAACTGCGCCTGTGTAGACCTAAGATCTTGGTGCTATAGGAATCGAATCTTGGGGAATCTGCACCTTCAACGACGGGCGTGACACACGTGGCCCGCTGACTGGAGCGTGGGACGCTGCAGCATGGTGGGTTCGCGTCCGTGCCAATCGCCAGTCGGCGAGAAGATTCGACCGCCTCTATTGGCTTAGACAAGTGCATTGTGCCGGCGTAAAATGAGAGATTAGTTGGTTCTTTTCTTCGTATTCTGAAATATTCGTCTTGGTATGCAAGCCGCCACGGTCCTGCCGCGCCTCCGGCTCCTCCCGAGCCTTGCATCGTACCTCGCGCCGTCCCCGACGTCGCTCGACGGCTTCCCGACCTTGCACCTCGCACCCTTCGCACCCAACGCGATCTTGATTCCGCTCGCCGACCAATTAGCCGCGGCCAAAGAGACTCGGCCCGCCGACACGGCGATGCTCAAGAAGAAGTGCTCGGTCGAGACGTGCGACAATGTCGCCCGCTCCAAGGGCCGCTGCAAGGCCCACGGTGGCGGCCAGCGCTGCACCGTGCCATCGTACGTAGACTTCCATCGGTTGATCAGCGTACTCATGCCACTCTAGCTGCCCACGGTCGAGCCAGCGCAGTGGCCTCTGCATCACGCATGGTGGCGGCAAGCAGTGCCTCGTCGATGGTTGCACGTCGACAGCGCAGTCCAAAGGCGTCTGCAAGGTGCACGGTGGCCGCGTGGCCTGCCGGGCGCCAGGGTGCATCAAGAATAACCAAGGTGGCGGCTTTTGCAGAGCGCACGGTATGCACATGCATGCCTGCGCAAGTGCTCATGGGGGACGGTGTAGGTGGCGGCCAGCGCTGCAAGTTTAACGGCGGCGGCCACTGCCCCAAGTGGGCGCAGCGCCATAGTATGTGCATCGCCCACGCCAAGATGCTCCACTCGTGATTGTCGTATTTTATTTAATTATTTTATTGTCGTGTTCAATCTCGGTCTGCTCTTGTGACTGGCGGCGATGAGGAGGACGAAGATGCGGGTACGGAATCACATTCCAACAGGATGCGGATACACGGCGCCGACCCGCATCTGCGTCGATGTGGGACATGCCTCGTGGTTTAGGGTACTCTAACCTCATGCTATCTCCGCTACAGTGTATCAAGCGCTACAGTGTATTCAAGCACCGAGTCCATATCCAAACGGCAGAACAGCTTGATGGAGGATACCACCAAAGCGAACGCATGGCTGTCACCCTAGTACAGTTCGAGAAGCACGTCGCATACAATGACTCATGCAGCCAAAAGTAAGATGTAAACTGCCTTTTGTAGGTATCCTGATGCAGTAACGCTAGGCGTCGTCTTCGCTGAGGAGCGTAAAGTCGCAGTCGGCCGAGACGGAGAGGAGGAACCGACCACTTCGGTTGGGCTCCCACGTCGTCGGCATGATAACGTACGACTCGTTGAAGAGCGCGGGGAGACTCAGTGGCGGTGACGCGACGCTGTGCATCGGCACAAAGTCCGTTTCAGTCCACATGCGCCCGTCAACAGTGACGCTCGAGGCGTCGCGTTGGATCTTCGCGCCTTGGAAAAGGTAAAAGCCCATCATGGTGCCGACCTACTCCGTTTTTCATAAGGTTCTAACGATGGACAATATGTCGTACCGAGTCCTTCTTGCATTTCGAGCGCCACTCGTGCTCGGACCGGTGCAAGTGAATCACAACATTGGCCGGGCGCACGCACTGCAGCGTCAAGTAAAACTTGGGATTTTTCTTCCAGTCCGGGTTCAAGTGCGCGCCACCGACGGTATTTTTGTGTTCATTCCACTCCTACAACCTCGATAAATCAGATCTGAGATGCACCAGGCTTCCACGTACACCCGCAATGGTCTTGGCCATGATGCTCGGCACCTCATCGAGTGTCACGACGTCGTCGCTGTGCACTTCAATCTCGAATGTGCCTTCAACGAGCGGCTCGCCGAGGGACGGCACGACCCAAAGACCGTGGACGAGCCAATCTGGGTTGACTTTGCGAAGAAACAGCGTTGCAATCAACGGACTCGCATGGTCCGAGAGCGTGCACCACTCGTCCGCCTTCACGAGCAGCTTCCGCTCTGGGATCGGCGGCGCTTTTGGAGCGCGGCTTGGGCCCTTGGTCTCACCGAGGAAATCAACTTTTTCGGCTTTGACGCGCTTCTTGGTCGTCGCCGTGTCGTCAACGAGGACGTCGGGCCGGACGACCGAGAGGCCGAGTGCGTGCGCCTTGTCCTTCTGTGCGTCGCGGCGGCCTTTGGTCGACACCTTGTACGAGGTTTGCTTGGCGACGATCTTGATCGTGACCGGGCGCTTGGCGTCGGCGGCTTTGGGGGCCATGCGCAAGAGAAACTGCGGGTTTTGGCACCAGCTTAAGTTCTCGGGGCCGCTTATTCCCTGGCTGAGACAGAGCGGACCACCGGCGCTGCTCGTGTTGCCGTTGCCGCCGTCGTCCGTCGCGCGCCACTTGCCATGGACTGCGAGGGCGTGCAGTGGTCGGAGGGCGTCGATCTGGACGGCTTTCGAGCTAAAGATGCGGAGGAAGAACTCCATGTCGACGCCGGCGTGGTCCGTGTACGGCACAACGACATACGCGCGACCTGGCTCGAGCACGACATTGCCCTTTGAGATTTCACGTTCCGGGTGCGACGTCGATGCGCTCGGTAGCGTTGCCTTGGAGGCGTCGTGGGGCGGGTAGCTGTGCGCCTCGGCGACCACGCGCGCCTTGTCGTACTCCCACACGATCGATGCGTGGAGCGCTTTTTTCGAGACTTCGAGCACAACAAAGTTGATGGCAAAGTTGTCGCCGCCGAAGACGCGAAAGTCGCGCTGCAAAAGCGAGAGCAAGACCGTGCACTTGTCGTCGACGACCAGTCGGTACTGCGGGTTGCGAAACCACGAAGGGTCCGTCTCGCCTTGGACGGTCCACGCCCGCGTACTCGGGCCCTTGGCGTGCTCATCGTCGACGCTCGGATGGGTCTCGGTCGCTGGCTTGGTGGGCGGGCCGGCCGCCGCCGGGCCAATCCACTCGCCGCGCACGCAGTACTGACACGTGCTCGACGGAAAGATGCGCGTGATGAACACCTCGTTGAACGTTTCGACAAAGTCCTCCCACACCATCCAGAACGTGCCGTCGTTCTTGGTCCGGTTAAAGTCGCAGGCTGCGTCCGCGCGGAGCGCCGCCTCGACTTGGAGGTTGTCTTCCCATTTGCAGTCGTCGTTGGACCAGTCGCCCTTCCAGGACCCGCGCTGCCAGACGTTCTTGAGCTTGATAAAGCGAAGCGACCCGAGCTCCTTGAGGTGCATGATCACATACAAGCGGTTCTTGAGAATACCAGCGGTCGTCACGTCGTTGTAGGACATGGACGCCATCTTGAGCTGGCAGCTCAAGACGCTCTTGTACGTACTGTGGTGCTTGAGCAGCTTGGACCAAAGGACGCCGGTTTCAACCAGGGTTTTCCGCGTCGCGTCCGAGCTCAGATCGATCTTCTTGACGCTGCCACCCGTGCAGTCGATGAACGCCTCGACGATGCTGCCGTCGTGGAGCACCTCGTAGTTGCCGTGAAACTTGGCGTACGCCTTCTCCAGGAGCGGGATAAAAACTTCGTTCTTATTGAGGCTGCTGCCGTAGAGCCAATGACCGGGTTGCACATTTGGCGGCGCCAAGCGCGGGTCGTTGACGTCGGCGATCGGCTGAGAGTAGGGTAGCCGCGTGTCGGCGACGACCTCGAGCCACTGGCAGTCCTTGTAGAACTGGCACGTGTAGATGCCGAACGTCTTGAAGTCGTGCATTTGGGACACAAAGAGGTTCTCGATCAAGTTGTCTTGGTGAAGCGCCAGCGCGGCAAAGACGCCGAGGAGCCACGCATCGTTGAGCCCACTGCCTTCCCGCAGCGTACCGCAGCCCGCCGTGCTCTTAAAGTAGTCGGGCTCGACGCACACTTGGCTGGGGCGGTACCAGTGCACGATCGCGCCGTCGTCGCCTTTCTTGGTCGACGTCGCATACTCGGGCGGCGCGTCCGCGTCTTTGAACAGACTCACGGCGCGCGCAGCAAAGTCCGGGTCCTCGTACATGGGCGGGATGTCGCCACACTCGGAGAGCATCGCGATCACATTGCGCTCGAGTGTGATGCCCGCGCCCTCAAACTGCATCCTCCGGACCACGGATTCTTGTCGAAGTGGGCGTTTCGGCGGTTAAGGACGGTACTAATCTCGTGGCCACCACCGCCAAGAGCTATTTGGTGCCCTGCGTTCTCGAGCTGGTTGTCGAGTAGCATTTACATTCTGAAAGACGACCAATTTCTGGCTGACGAGAGGAAAAATGTTAGTGTTCGTGAACGATTGTGAGAGAGCTCACTACAAGAGTAGCGACGCTTTTAGGGAGTTTGAGAGGATTACGTTGTTGTATGCTCAGCTGCGCTGGTGGTCCGTGAGCCGAGGTAGGAGTACATCTGGAGTACATATTAGGTTTGTCCCCGTGAGCCGACCTTCGGTTGGGCATGGGTCATTGACCCATGGGTTGGGCTTGATGCCATGGCTGACGACCTATTGTGCTTGTTGATTGGCTGAAATATCATATCAAGTCAGCCAATCTATTTGCAGGAGACCCAGAGCGCATTGATTGGCTGAAATACGTAAAATAATCGGCATTCGTAGAATTATGCATGGATTGGCTAAAATCCACCTGTGTTTGGCCAATCCAAAGGGTCCATTCTGGGGTCTCTGGGACCCGAGCTTCGCTGAGGCGCGGCCGCTGTCCGGACCATGCTGCTCCACGCAGCTCCAGCGATAGAAAGCTGCTACAAGGTATGTACAATCCCACGTCGGCACTTCCGAGCCTGAGCCATTGTTGAAATGCTGTGCGAAGTAGAAGAGTAACTTGAGGATTTCTCGCTGATGCAGTTTGGCACAGCATTTCTCAGACAGGATACTGACTGCATGATGGTCCGGGTCGCTGCACCAGCTGCACCGGGCGCCATGGAATAAATAGCTCAAGGAACAGAAGTGTTCAATCGACACACTGAGAATTCAGCGCCGCCCGACGCTGTGCGCCAATATTTAAATCTCTCGATTTTTGAGGCTCAAAATATCTCAAAATTTGGTCCAACGACCGACTGCGTCGCGGCTTACATTGTATTTCAGAAACTTGAAAAGAAGAAAAAAGGGAACGATGCACTCGTCGTACTGTAGTAAAAGGTCTACGAGCTGGTATGGCGAGAACCGGGTTGTGTGTGTGGGAAGGATACACCGTCGGATGCGGCGTGGGGTATGCGCATTACACGCGGGGCAGCCACGGGACACGCGGCCAAATATGACGTCGTTGGCGCACTTAATGGTTGAGCGGCGCGATCGGCTTCATGTACGAGTGCAGCACGGGTTCGTAGTGGTGGTGCACCTGCGGGTAGTGCGGCGGCGACGACGCCGACAACGACGGGTAGTTGTAATAAATAGACGACGGCTCGCCCGGCGGTGCGTGGCGGCGCTCCCAAGCACTTTGGATGCGGCGCTTGATCTCGTCGAGCCGGAGCGCGTGGTCGTTGGCGGGCTCGTGGTAGACGCCGTAGCCGCGTGGCAGGAGCGGCGCCGGCAACGCGTACGCGGTCAGTGGTGCGGGCGGCGGCGTGGCAAAGGCCGGCTCGGCCTTGGCGCGTGCTTGCTGCTGCGACTGCATGTTGCGGCGCTTGGTCGCATAGCTCTTCTGCACCGAGTTGGCCTTCTTGCGGTGGTAGTCGCAGAGCGAGTGGAGCTTGCCGTTCTTCCGGCGGGACCGGCGCTCCTTGCACTCCTTGTAGGCGTACTTGCAGCGCTCGTCCGGTGGGAAGGCGGCCGGTGCGTCGGAGCTGGTCGTGCTGCTTGCTGCTTCGGTGGGCATTTCGGAATCTGCTGGGCAAAGTGAGATGAACTGTCGACCAGCTGGTGCGGGTTTCGAAAATATAAAAACGGGGCGCTCGGCGTTTCTGTTTTACTTTTATTGCAATTACATACAAAACCGCTATCAACATATAACCATCGAATTGTACGAGCCCGTTGGAGCGTGTTATATTACGCACTCGAGTGATTAATATCAGTGCTGTGCCCACTTCTTCGCATCAATTCAAAAGCAATTCACACCTTGCTATACAAATCTAAAGTGAACATAAAATACTGGTATTCAATTTCCGAATAAAAGTGTTGCGAAATGCCACTGCCGATTACTGCGGCAGTTGAAGTCCCACACATATCATTTTTCTCATATTAATTTAAATATCATTTTCCGCGGCCATATCACTTCGGCTTCTTCTTCGCGATGGACGACACGCGAAGCGCAGTCCCTTCGCTGCGTCTCTGCATGACTCGGCCGACGTCCTTGCTCTGCTTGTTGAGATGCAGCGACGGACGGCGCCCGAGGTCCGGCACGCGTCAAGTGTTGGGACATGTTGAAGCTGCACGGCCTCCGAATTCAATGATCCAGCTGCGAGTAAGGGAAGGTCGCCAGCGCCATACGTAATGATATCCATCAAGAAAGAAGGCGAATTGGTTGAAGTCCGCCGACTGAATCCCAGCGCATCGCGCACGACGACTGATCGCACTGGCGTGCGTCACACAGCGCTCGCGTGAACACCGAGCCCTCCGCGGCAGATCGTCGCTCGCTCTGGACGCGTCGGGCCGTGTAACAGGGGAGCGAGCGGTGCGATTGAAAAATTATATCGGGGTAGTAATGCCGAGCGCAGTCCGGTTGCTGGATGGCAGCGGCATCACCGCCACGGACTCATTACTGCTGGCATTTATGCACCAACGCTCATGGAATCAACGCTCATGGAGGAGTCACTGCGTCCGTGCTATCGTGGATATATCAGTGTACCGCCAGGACAGCATCAAGCGAAAATGCACGCACCTTTCTACGTCGGCGAGAAACGCGTGAAGCGTCGCGTCGTCGTCGTTCTCGCTGGGCTTTGCCTTCTTTGGTGCCACGTCGTCGTCGTCGCCGTCGTCGTCGCCAAAGCGACGCTTCCCGATGCCCTTGAGGAGCGCGTCGAGCTTGGATTTGGCGGCCTTGGCTTGGGCTACGCGACAGTGCATTGGTGAGCAAACGCGGGAAGAGTGCAATGTTCATGCGCACCGAGCGAGACGGGCTTCTCCCACTGTGTCTCTTGGGTGTGCACGTTCCAGTAGTACGACGACTGGGTTGTCGGGTCCGTCACGAGCTGCCAGCCACTGCAGGTCGCAACGTGAGACGATCACAGAGAGCTCAAAGCAGCGTCGTACTCTGGGAGATCTTCGACAGGCGGCTCCTCAACGGCAGCACCGGGTTTCGTCCACGACGTCTCCTTCGTGGTCTAAGCAGGACGCTGTCAGCACGATATCGTCGCGTCGAACTTACCTCGTTCCAGTAGTAGATGTCGCCCGTCGCTGCGTCCTTGGCCTCCAACCATCCTGTCGGCAGTTGGTTCTTCGAGGCGCCACCAACCTCTGTGCCCCATCAAGAACATGTCAGACACCGCCTCGAAGTACCTGCACGTGGCGTCGCAAACGCGTTCGAAGCGCTGGCCTCCGACGCGACTTGGATGGTGCTACTGGAGCTCGCGCCCGTTGTCGATCGCGGGGCACTGGCGGCTGCTTGATGGGACACGTGGCTGGACTCATGCAGGGGATGAGCCTTGGCTCGGCGCTGCGCGAGCACTTGGAGCGTGTTGTCGCCGCGCTCGAGACTCATGCCCACGCCATGCTGGTTGCCGAGCTCATACTGCGACGGCCCCGTGCCCGTGGCGGCGAGGTGCTTCTGGGCCGCGGCCCGCGCCTGCCGCGCCGCTGTCTCGGCCTGCCCTCGCGCGGCTTTTGGTGGCATTGAAATGAAATTTTCACACTCAACCAACTGGCTGGCACACCCGCGACGCGCTGTGAAAAATGGGGTGGGAATTGAATACGGCATGTGCCGAAAATAAAGACGCCGTCGGTTTCCGAGTGCCACGTCATGGCGGCGCACGGTCCTTGCGGCGTCGGTAGAGACAAGGCCATGGTGCTTCCTTGGGTACTGCACGAGGCGCGGCGCATACAATGCGTACTACTACAGCCACCAAGGACCTTTGCGCAAGGAAACAGCTCGGATTGAGCTGCCGGCCACGTCCCTCCTGCCTCCGAGTCACTGCCGCTCGATTCTTGCATTTCGTGTGGCCGCACCTTGGGATATATGCCGCGATCAACTCATGTCACGTCGCGCGCTCCACCAAGACGTGTGTATGGACAAGCTGTCTGTCTGTCCACACATAAGCGGCTTGTTCCGATGTGGCGCTTGTGTCAAAAAGCATGTGGCGATCCTCGATCGTGTCAATGATGGTGGAATGAGGCACGCCAGTCCGTGTAGCTACTACTCTGTTTGGCCGCTCCGACGTTTGAACGCTAGCATCTTCGACCTTATAGCGTACGTACCAAGAACTGAAGTCGCTCGTAGCGCACGTTCGTGGCGCGCTCGTTCGATCCCGCGACCCTCTCGGTGGTGCTAAATCTGGCACCTGCCGCTGATGTCTGTGCTGCATTTTTCACATCATTTCCCACGCGCGTCGTGGCTCGTCGCGCATTTCGCACGTCCACCCAGATGTCGCATCCGTATAATTTTGCGGTATCCGGAACTCGGCTGGGATTTGCTGCCACTTTTTCGCCACCTAGTTTGTATTTTAATGCAAATCACCGAGCCTGCATACAAACATCAAGAGGTGAGGCGAGTGGAATTATTTTACGGATTTTATTGCACCTTGGACCGGTCCTGTGCTGCCAGCTGGGTTCGCCAAGCCTTTGGCGACGCCCCTGGCAGAGGCTGTCATTTCGCGTCTGTCGCCCTCCACGCCAACGCCATGCAGGGACCGAGCACGTCCGTGCCGGAGGAGAAGCTGCCGCTGCTGGCCACGCGCAGCGAGCCCATCGCCCGCGGCTCCTTTGGCTCGCCGCGCGACATCTCCGAGCGCAGTGGTTCGCCGGGAGACGTGCGCAGTGACACGCCGCGAAACAGCTCGCCGCATACGCAGCCCGAGCAAGGCTCGTCGCCGGCTGACGCCGATAACCGCGTCTCTCTCGACATCTCGTCGTTCGGTCGCTCGCCGGGCAGCTACGCCGCGACGTTCGACCCGCGCCGTGTCAACAACGAGTGGACGGGCAACCTGCAGTCGGAGCTCTCGGAGGCCGCGCTCTACTCGGACATGTCGAATGCGGTACGTTGTCGGCTTTGCATTAAGAACAGGGCCGCATACATCTTGTGTGTAGAAGGACCAGCTCAAAAAGTCCAAGGCGCAGCACATGGAGTCGTTCGATTACGATTTCTTTGAGTCGCGTGTCAACCAGCAGCACGAGCTCGAGTCGAACGAAGAGACCATCCGCGCGCTCAACATGGGCCGCTGGGTCATGACCTTTGGCATTGGCCTCGGCACGGCCGGCGTCGCGTGCTTCATTGAAAAGTTCACCGACCTCTTCTCCGACTTTCGGCGCGACTCGATGGAAGAGATGATCGAGAAGGAACGCCGCCACGAAGCGGCCTTTGGCATGGCCTTCCTCACGTACGCGGCCATCTCGATCATGTTTGTCAGCGTCGCGACGTACTGCGTCGCGATTCTGTGCCCGGTGGCCGGCGGCTCGGGCATCTCCGAGATCAAGGCGACGCTCAACGGTATCAAGATCCACCGCATTGTGCGGCTCAAGACGCTCTTCTGCAAGGCGATTGGCATTCTCTTCTCGGTCGCGGCCGGGCTCCCGGTCGGGAAGGAAGGCCCGATGATCCACTCAGGTGCGATCATTGGCGCCGGTCTCTCGCAGGGCAAGTCGTCATCGTTCGGCCTCGATACAAGCTGGACCAAGTTCAAGGGGTTCCGCAACGACAAGGAGAAGCGCGACTTCATCTCATGCGGTGCGGCCGCCGGCGTCGGTGCGGCCTTTGGGGCGCCCATTGGCGGCGTCCTCTTTGCGCTGGAGGAAGGCGCTTCGTTCTGGCACCAGAACCTTACGTGGCGAACGTTCTTTTGCGCCATGGTGTCGGCGTTCGTCGTCAACTTGTACAGCGCGTTCCGGTCCGAGGTCGACGCCAACGACAGCCGGTGGGGCCACCTCGGCAACCAAACCGGCACGCTCTCGTTCGGCTCATTCTCGGAGAACAACAAGAGCTACGCGGTTTGGGACGTGCCGATCTTCCTTGCCATGGGCATGATTGGCGGGCTCATGGGCGCCGTCTTCAACCAGGCCAACACGATTCTGACCAACTTTCGCCGGTCGTCGCCGCTCATGAGCCACCGCTACGGGCGGTTCCTCGAGGCCATGTTCATCTGCTTCGTCATGGCGGTCACAAGCTTCTGGCTCTCGTACCGGTTTGGCAAGTGCCTCCCGCTCGACGGGCCGTACAAGGAGCAGCTCGTGCAGTTTTACTGCGCCGACGGCGAGTACAACGACCTCGCGTCGCTCTATACCGTGGCGTTTGCGACTTCGATGAAGCAGCTCTTCCACTTTACGACGCCGGCTTCCTTCACGCTCTCGTCGCTGCTCATCTTCTTTGGCTCGTTCTACGTCATGGCGTGCTGGACGTACGGCATTGCGGTGCCGTCCGGGCTCTTTGTCCCGAGTCTGCTCGCGGGCGCAGCGTACGGGCGCATCTGGGTGCACTTTCTCGAGGCGGCGCACATTCCGCACACGGCGCCCATCGGGATGTTCTCGCTCATCGGCGCCGCCTCGATGCTGGGCGGGATGGCGCGCATGACGATCTCGCTGACCGTCATCATCCTCGAGTGCACGGGCGTCATCGAGTGGGGCCTCCCGATCATGGTGTGCCTCATGATGGCGCGCTGGGTCGGCAACAGCTTCAACCACGGCCTGTACGACATCCACATCCACCTCAAGCACCTCCCGTTCCTCGAGTTTGACCCGCCGTTCTACGCCCGGTACCTCCGCGTCGCCAACATCATGGGCGCGCCGGTCGTGTCGCTCGACCATATTTCCAAGGCCGGTGCGATCTACGATGTCCTCCGGGCGTCGGCGCACTCGGGCTTTGCGGTCGTTGCGCCCGCCAAGGACAATGGCAACCCCAAGTTTGTCGGTATCATCCAGCGCAAGCACCTCTGCGTCATGCTCCAGCGCAAGGACTTTAGCGTCGCGCGGCCGATCCCGTTCACGCGCCAGCCCGCGAGCGAAGAGAGCTTCCTCTACAACGAGCAGTACGCGCTCTCGTACCGCGACATTGAGTCGACGTATCCGCGGTACCCCAACATCAACGAGATCCGGCTCGACTCGATCGAACGCGAGCTCTGGATGGACCTCACGCCGTACATGAACCCGACGCCGCACACGGTGCAGGACCAGATGCCGGTCCCGCGCGCCTTCCGTCTCTTCCGGTCGCTGGGGCTGCGCCACTTGGTACGTTGATTCTAGTTAGTAGGAGGCGCGTGCGATCCAGTGGATTAGATTGTACTGAACCGCAGCAACGAGGTCAAGGGCATCATCTCGCGCAAGGACTTGACCGAAAAGCACTTGCAGGAGTCGCTCGAGAACCTCACCGAGATGGAGAAGGTCCGCATCCAGGGCTACTTCAACCGCAACAGCCGCTACTCGCAGCTCTCGCAGCGCTTTGTCGACGTCGAGAAGACGCTGCTGTCCATGTCGGACAATGCGTAGTGGAGGGACATACATCGTTATATAAACCTATCGCTGCGTTCGACCTCGCGTGCTCCTCGGCGATTTTAAAGTCATCAAGACGAGTCGATCACTCGGAAGCGGAAGCATCCACTCGCTCGACGAGACCCGCCGCTTGGGCACTGACGATCAACCCTGGACGCGTTGCTTGGCTTGATGACGCCGAGCATCCGACGCCATGGCCGCGTGCCTGGAGAGAGCCGAGTAGCATCAAACGCGCAGATCAAAGCGTTTGGCGAGCAGCACATGCAGTAGAGCCTCTTGACGCACAAGGACTTGCATGTTGGTGTGTTGTTAACCCCTTTGCGCCGGGAGTCCACGGAGGCTTGGTGGCGTGGGGCACGGAGGCTCGGTGAAGGGACCTGCCTAGATCACAGGCGTCAGTAGTAGCAGGTGCGCGACACCGGCGAGGGCCAGGCGCTCTTTGCGGGTCAGTCGAGGCGGCGGCGGCGCATGGGTCGTCATCGCGGACCGTCGAGTGTCGCCGACGGTCCATGGGCTCCAGGGCCAGAAGCGAGGCCGGGGCTCGACCTACGCCGGTGGGTTACTTGGGTCGCATGAAGGCTACGCTACGTGGGAGCGGCGCGCGGGGCGGCGACGGCGCTCGAACCAGCGGTGTCGATCCATCGGCCGACCAAAAATATGGCCTCCGGCTTCGGCTTTTCCGGATACCATCTACGTTAAGCGGACAGCCAACGCCAGGCAAGTATCGAGAAGGATGCACCAATTAAATAGTGTAATTCGCAACATTTCAAACATTATAAGCCAATCAGAAGGCTGCTTGAAGAAGGAGAGCCAATCCGATACCCTGAAAATCGGTTGGATCGCGATGGCCGCGATACATTGATACACGCCCTCGATACAACACGAGGCCACAAGCGGACCATTATCGTAACCTGATCCAGCAGCGACCGTCGTCCCCTGCCGTTCAATAGGGCGCACGTAGTCATCTCTACGTTGTTGGTATTTCTTATTTCGCGCGTTCTCTATGTGTTTTGCATAATCTTCATAAAAAGACGTAGAGACGAGCAATCTCCTTCTTCTTCATTCGCTCACCGGGCTGTGTTTGCGCAGGCGGCGGCGCGGGCACTCGTCTTGCTCTTGAGTAGTCGCCTGGGTGCGCTTGTGACCGCGAGTGCGTATGACGACACGCTTCGTAGAGGCCTTCCAGGCTTCGCCATCCGCAGTTTCTTAAGGTTCTAAGGTCATCGAGAGACGCCAGCAACTGAGGCAGTGCATGACGATTGGAGGTCGCAGTGCAGGACGATCGGCAACGTAAGCTTGGTGCGGCCTAAACACGGGCGGGGCAAAAAAGCCGGCGGCGGCAGCGTTGCCAGGGACTGCCTGCGCAACACGTGGCCCAGCAGGCGCCAGCGCTGGCCATCTCGCTCGGCTGCTTTGTGTCGATGCCACACATTATAATTCGATAGTCCTCACACTTTGGTCTATTGCAATCGATTAAATGTCACTGACGTGCGACTTGGTGCGACCCCATCCATTCGAGGGCGTCAAGAGCACGTTGGCTGGCGACGCGATCGCTAGAGGTGGCATCGTCCAGTCGACCGCGTCCGGCGCTTCCATCGCCTCCATGGCGTTTTGCGCCATTTGGGTCCAGTCGATCGTCGTGTACTTGACCGTGAGCACGACGAGCTTGAAGCCGGCCGTGAGGCAAATCCCGTACCAGAGACCCGCAAAGCCGCAGTGCCACTGGATCGCAAAGAGGTACGCGAACGGCAGCTGGATGCCCCACATGGCGACGAACGCAACCATGGACACGAACGGCATTTGGCCCATGCCGTCGAGGACTGCGGTCATCGTGATCTCGAGCGCATCGAGGCAAAACGCTAGGACAAAGAGCGGGAGGACGTCGTTGCTCATAGCAATGAGCGCGGCATCGCTCGTGTAGACGCGGAGCACGAGGTCCCGTCCCAGCAACGTCGCCAGCGCCACAAGGACGGTCGCGGCACCGATCGTGGCAAAACCGAGGCGGCTCGCAGCCCGCGCGGCGTTCGGGTGGCCGGCGCCCAGATGATTCGCGACCTTGACTTGGGTCGAGCAGCCAATGCCCCAGAAGAGCGCCCAGACCATGCCCCAGAGCGTGAGCAGAATTGCATTCGACGCTAGGACTTGAGCACCGAGCTGCGCGGCGATGAGCGACATGCACGAGTTGGCGAGCGTCGTCAAGCCGTCGTTGATGCCGAGGGGCACAGCCATGCGAAGGAACGTGCGCCACCGATCGGACGTGAACGCCGACCAGTGCCAGCCGTCCCACGCCATCTTGTGGTAGCCGCGGTACGTAAAGGCATAGAGAAATAGTGCAATGGGCTGGAACCAGGACGCAAAGACGGTCGCGATGGCCGACCCGTCAAAGCCGAGGCCGTGCCACTCGCCGGCGCCGTAGATGAAGAACGTGTTGGCGCCAATCGCAAGGAAGATGGCGATCGTGCCGATGATCGTCGTCGGCGCGACGATGTTCATGGCCTGGAGGTACTGGCGCATGCACGCATACGCCAGCGTCGGCCAAATCGAAAACGAGAGGAGACGCGCAAAGCGGACCCCGAGCGCAACGATATCGAGATCGTCCGTCGCGCGCGAGAGGACGACGTCGAGGACCCAGTACCAGACAAAGACGGGCACGGACAAAAGCGTCACGAGGATCAATGACATTTGAAACCACACGCCCATGAGCGCATAGTTCTTGGCGCCAAACGCTTGGCCGCAGAGCTATCCGACAAGATCAGGCGGTGAAGATACATGCAGGATGGGTGAGCCTACCGTCACGAGGGCCGAGGCCATGGCCCAGACGGCAAAGAGCGGCACTTGGGTCCAGATCGTGGCCAGCGACGAGCCTGCGAGCGCGCCCGTGCCGAGGTGGCCGAGGAAGGCCGAGTCGATGGACGTGAGCGCGATGCGCGCAATGTTGGCGAGCGCCATCTGGAAGGCGAGCGAGAGGTACGGCCAGAACTCGTGCTGGAGGTCAAAGACATCCGTCGTCTTCTTGGACACCAGCGGCGTGTGCTCCATCATCCTCGTCGAGCAGTGTACGAGGGATCTGTGGTCGCCACCGCAGGGACACGCACTGAGATTGTTTGTGCAAAGTGGGATCCTCGTAACGTTTGATTGGTGCGCTCATGGTCAGGCGACCAATCCGAGGGCGGAATTGCGTGTTCGAATTCGAAGGCCTCTAGACAGGCCGAGGACGCTTTGGACGGCGACGACGCGGCGCCCGAGCTGTACTTGGAGCAGGACGTATGCAGCGAGCCTGCTTGATGGGTCGCCGCTCTTACGCTCCCCTTGACGTCAGAGAGCCACAGGCACTAGCGAGTACATGTACAATCTGGTTGCAGTCGCGAGCGAGGGATCGGCCCAGCCGGCGACGGTGTTGACTACCCCATCAACCCTCCGACCGTCACGATTGGTCCACAACATGCCCATATTGGGTAAGGATCCGTGGTTAGTGATGGTCTAGCCTACCGGTACCTTGGTAATATGAGCGCACCAGCCGTGCTTTGCTGACGAGCGTCTCGAAGACAGCGCAGGAGACACACAAGTGTATGTAGGAGTTATGTAGTAGTTGTAGTAGAGGTGGCCTAGAGAAATCTAAATCTACGCTTCTGACTTGATGTTCGTCGGCGTGTTGCGGTGAAAGCCGGGCGACTGCGACGTCAAGAGCGCGTTCGCAGGCGACGCAATCGCGCACGTCGCCGACATGGTCCAGTCGTCCGTGGCTTCGACCGTCTCCATTGCGTGGAGCGCCATGAGGTCCCAGTCGATCGTGACGTACTTGATGGCGAGCACAATCATCTTGAAGCCGGCCGTGAGGCAAATGCCGATCCAGAGACCCGCAAACCCATAGTTCAAGTGGATCGCGAGCACGTAGCTCATCGGGAGCTGGACGAGCCACATGGCGACGAACGACACCATCGACACAAACGGCATCTGGCCCATGCCTTCAAGAACCGCCGTGATCGTAATCTCGATCGCGTCGAGGCCAAACCCGAGCACGAAAAGCGGCAGCACCGCGACGCAGTGGTCAATCAAGACGGCGTCGCTCGTGTAGATGCTCAGAATCGGTGTGTGGGCCACGTACGTCAATGCGGCCACGAGCACGGCCGTGACAATGATGGCGCAGAAACCGAGCTGGCTCGACGCACGGGCCGCTTTCGGGTGGCCCGCCCCGAGCTGGTTGGCAACTTTGACTTGGGTCGAGCACGCAATGCCCCAGAAGAGCGCCCAAACCAGCGTCCAGAGCGTGAGCAGAATTGCATTCGACGCAAGGATCTCGGCGCCGAGCTGCGCCGCGATGAGCGACATGCACGAGTTGGCGAGCGTCGTAAAGCCGTCGTTGAGACCGAGCGGCAGCGCCATGCGAAGGAACGTCATCCACCGGTCCTTGGTGAAGGCCGAGAGCTGCCAGCCGCCCCACGCCTGCTTGTGGTAGCCGCGGTACGCGAACGCATAGAGGTACAACGCAACCGGTTGGAACCAAGAGGCAACGACAGTCGCGAGCGCCGAGCCGTCAAAGCCGAGGCCGTCCCACTCGCCGGCGCCGTAGATGAGCAGCCAGTTGGCAAACACCGCAATCACAATCGACATGGTGCCGATGATGGTCGTGGGTGCCACGAGGTTCATCGCCTGGAGGTACTGGCGCATGCAGACGTACACGAGGCTCGGCCAGATCGAGAAGGACAAGAGCCGGGCGAAGCGGAGACCAAGCGCAATGATGGTAACGTCGTCGGTCGCGTGCGAGAGGACAACGTCAAGCGTCCAGTACCACACAAAGACGGGAACCATGAGCACGCTCACGAGGCAGAGCGCCATCTGAAACCAGATGCCCATGAGGTTGTAGTTCTTGGCGCCGTACGCTTGACCGCAGAGCTATCAGTCGTTTCATGAGTCGAATGGCATATCAATGGAGGCAGACGCACCGTGATGAGGGCCGAGGCCATGGCCCAGACGCAGTTGAGCGGCACTTGGGTCCAAATCGTCGCGAGCGACGAGCCAGCGAGCGCGTCCGTGCCGAGGTGCCCAAGAAAAGCCGAGTCGATCGAGATGAGCGCAATGCGCGCCACGTTGGCGAGCGCCATCTGCAGCGCGAGCGAGATGTAGGGACCGAGCTCGCGCTTCAGCACGAACGTGTCGGTGGGCTTGGCCAGCAGCGGCTTGGACTCGAGAACGCTCGACATGGCCAAAGGAAAAGTGAGGCCTTGGAAGTTTCCGTGGTCGCGACACCATCCTGCGACAGTGCGTCTGGTCCGTGCAACCAGATGCAGAGTGGGACGGGGGGTGTAATCGCGCCCTCCAAGCGGCGCACCAGGAGGTAGGATGGCTCAGATGCGAGGCAGTGCTCCTGCTCCAAGCACCCAAAACGCCGATCGGCATTACATCAGAGTACAAGCGGCGCATTTTATGCATCGTCGTTGACGATCGTACAGCCCGCGAGCTCATCTTGAGCGAGCAAACGCCAGCTGTTTGCAGATGGCCGTTGACGGATGATATTTGACGCGAAAAACTGCAGTGCCTTTGACAAGCAAGGCCGGAACAAGACAAGAGACCAGAGATCGATCGCGCGCTTGGACTCGCTACTGCAATTTGCTGTACTACAAGTCGTAGAGGCATGGGTGGTTGGATAAAGGGAACCCACTACCACGTCTGGTGTCCCTGCGCCTTGGTGTCATTGTATTTTGCACTGGGATCCAGTTCGCCACCGTAGACAGTCGAGGCTGCACGTGGGACTCGAAGCAGAAAGGCCACGACTGTACACATAAAGTAGCCTCCCAGCAAGCAAAGCAAGGCGGTCTCGGAGTCGATGGCGCACAAAAGACTGGTTCTGAACCACTCGTTGGCGCTCGTGGGTGCAATAAATGACGCAAGGTAGACGGGGCTCTTCCAACGTCGTCGAGCGGTACACCCAGGATGTTCCAAAACAACTATCGTTGCAATGCCGTACCAACTAACGAATATACTAATGTAATAGCGCATAGACTAGTATACTTACTAATGTACTAATGTACTAGCAAGGGACTTATGCACTAACTCATGGACTCATATACTAACTCATGGACTAATGCACAAAATTGATCGATGCTGCGCACAGGCAAAACCGACGAGTTAGTTCAAGGTGGTGTACATTTATCTCTGAGCCGAAAGGTGTGGGCGCACTGCACTGTGACTGCACCTTTTCTCTATATTCAGTGGTAGCTCGTGACACGCTGCATCGGCCAAAGGTCCATAAAATCATTTGATTCCGCTTGGCTGCGGTTGGTTGGCTTTGCAGTCGACGTGCCGAAACGCCGTGCACGACAATATTGTAGCAATATGTATGACGGTTATATTAACGTCAAGGCGACACTGCCGCCGCGATGGTCATGCGAGTACCAAGATGGTTCGTGGGCTATGGGTGATGTCAGCATACACACAAAACTGCACTCTGGGTCGCACAAGACTGGCAGTGTCGAGCGCTTACTTTCGCTTGCGTCGTCGCCGCCGACGATTTCCATGGCGACTAGGGCGCCCGTTACCATGTCGGACCACTGCACCGTGGCGAGCTTGATGGCAAAGACGACCGTCTTGGCGCCACCGCCGACGCAGCAGCCGAGCCAGACCCCCGAGAGACCGAGGTTGTTTGTGATACCAAAGTAGTAGGCCAGTGGGAGCTGGACGCCCCAGAGTCGAGGAGCGTCACGACCGAGACAAAGCCCATCTGACCCATGCCTTCGAGAGTACACGAAAGGACGGTCTCGACCGCTAGCATGAGTGACGCGCCAATGTACAGCGGCAGCGCGTCGATGCACAGTGCAAGGAGCGCGTCATTGCTCGTGAAAATGCCGATGACGCCCCGAGCACCGACGAAGAAACCGATAGCGACTAGGGCGGCGACACTGGTTGCGACACTGACAGCCATGAACGCAGTCGCCTTGGCCGATGTCGGGCGACGTCCACCCAAGTGCGCAGCAATGCGAACTTCGGCCGCACATCCGATGCTGTAGTAGAGTTCTTGCAGGAGGACCCAGAGGTTGGAGAAGATGGCGTTGGCAGCGATCGCGTCCGACCCGAGCGTGGCGACGATAAGAGATAGCACGGCCAAGTACAAGAAGGTGCAGCCGTCGTTGAGGCCGAGGGGCAGCGCCATGCGGAAGAACGTCTTCCAGCGAGACCACGTGAGCTCCGAGAGCTTCCAGCCGCCCCACGCCCCGCGATGGTACTTCTTGTAGACGAATGCATAGAGGAAGAGCGCGATCGGCTGGAACCACGCTGCAATGACAGTAGCCAGTGGCGACCCATCAAAGCCAAGGCCCGCCGTGTAGATGAGGAGGTAGTTGGCTCCGACATCAATACCGATGCAGACGATGCCGTTGATGGTCGTGGGGGTGACAACGCCCAGAGCTTGGAGGTACTGGCATAGGCAGACGTACACCAGCAACGGCCAGGCACTTGCCGATAAAATGCGTCCAAAACGGGAGCCGAGCGCGACAATCGCTGCATCGTCGGTTGCGTGCTGCACGACGACGTCGATGGACCAGTACCAGTAGAGCGTGGGGGGCATGAGCACCGCGATAAGAAGAAGAGCCATTTGAAGCCAGACGCCCATGAGGAGGTAGTTCTTGGCGCCGTACGCTTGACCACAAAGCTATGCATCCGGTGACGCCTTTTGCAACAAGAATGGACATACCGCGACAAGCGCCGAGGCCATGGCGGTGACGGTGTAGAGAACGCATTGCGTCCAGAGACTGGCGAGGGAGGCCGCTGCGAGCTCGGTGGTACCGAGGTGCCCGACGAACGCGCTGTCGACGACGGTGAGCGCGAGTCGAGCCAAGTTGGAGATCATGAGCTGAGCGGCAAACGCTAGGAAGGGAAGTATCTCTTTTCGGGCACAAAAGACATCACTCGAGACGCTACTGGCGTCGCAGTGGCGCATCGCCGGTCGATTGCAGCCTGAAGGACACACCATGATGGCGATTTGTTGTGCGCAGACCTGCTCTCATACAGCGTGCGAGCACAGAAGTCACGTGGTGCAGGATCGTGCCACCGACAGTTGAGGTCGGCTGAGAAATCGCTGTTGTCTGGTTGTGAAGCGAGGCGATAGCTTGTCATTGGTTACGTGAGACGCGATATATGGATTCTGGCGTCGCTCGGACATGATGCCCCACGTCACTCCAAGCGCCGTGTACGAACGGTCTTTCACGACCTAGGAGGTGGCCAGCGGAGGGTTAACGCTGCATTGCTGTATTGGAAATGAGCTTGGACCGTGTCTTCGACGTTGACAGTTGCTGCCTGCTAAACGGGAACTGTGGTTCGGGCAACGGCTGAAGATGGCGCACTTGCATGACCGTGGTCAAATCACACAGCTTCACGCGTCCCGCGCAAAACTACCTTTTGATTGACGTTCTATGTTGAGGTCTCGCTGGTGGTTGCAACAAGGGTCAATGCACTCGGTCATCCTCTGTGATGGATATCTGTTGTCGAGTGCTCGGGTTGTGGAGGACTCTAAAACTTGAAGCAAAAGTCATACATATGGCAAAAGGTCCTGATTTTTGGGTCGTCACGTTGTCTGCACCAACCTGCCGAGAGACGTTTTGTGCACCAACATAATTGAATTTTAACTTGGTGTGATCGTTTTTTCATGGTTAGCAATCGAGAATGTCGTGTTGAGGTCTACTGGACATTGCACCAGCGTCTCCAACGTACTGCACAATTCACGACATAGTCTAGGCAATGCATATTGATCCTAAGCTATCACCTCCCATCCTAAGATTTGAAACTTATCCGAGGGTACACTCCAACGCTGCTCGTATGACCCGGTCCTTGACGCCATCATACGTTTTGAAAGCGAATGGCTCATAGCCCCAAGCACGTGCGATGACGCGCCGGTTGTCATCACCAAGATGTGACGTGTGGTTCACTGATTGCAGTATGGATGTTGCCCATGGCTCTCGTTCGACAAGACCCATTCTCCCTCGACAAGAACCATGTTCTCAAGGCGACCATTTTCGAATTGCCTCTGGAAGATGAGTGCGGAGCTGGGCGAAGACGTCTTTCACCTCCGGTCGGAGCTGCGTTTCTAATTTTTGCACTTCAGCTCGAGATCAGCAACATGGCGCGGCTTGCCCTCATGGTCATCGACAGCGCGTTTCTTGGGCACCTCGGCACGAGTGAGCTCGCGGGCTCGGCGCTCGCGACGCTCTGGACCGAGTTTCCCCTCTTCACCGTCTGGGGAATGGCCTCGGCCCAAATAGCGGTACTTGCATCGATCTTTTGTGGTATCAAGTTCTCAGATCCAGTTTGCTGTAGCTTTGTGGCCAAGCGTACGGCACGAAAAACTACGCTCTCATGGGCATCTGGCTGCAAATGACGCTCATTCTGATATCGATCCTCGCTGTACCGACGACTGTGTATTTTCTCTACGTCGACGGTATCTTGCGTCTCACGACCGACGACGCAGTCATCATCGAGCTCGGCGCTCGCTTTGCGCAGCTCTTGTCGCCAAGCATTTGGCCGCTCCTCGCGTACGTCTGTTTGCGTCAGTACCTCCAAGCCATGGGTGTTGTCTTGCCCACCACTATCAACGGCATCGTCTGCATCGGCATCGACGTCGGTGCCAACTAATTTCTTATTTATGGTGCCGGCAACTGGCACGGCCTCGGCTTTGACGGATCACCGCTCGCCACCGTCATTGCTGCGTGGTTCCAGCCGATCGCGCTCTTCCTCTATGCATTCGTCTACAAGAAGTACCATCGGGGGGCGTGGGGCGGCTGGAAGCTCTCGGAGCTGACGTGGTCTCGCTGGAAGACGTTCTTCCGCATGGCGCTGCCTCTGGGCCTCAACGACAGCTGTGACTTGCTCGGCGCCGCGGCGCTCTCGTTTGTCGTTGCCAAGATGGGCGCTAACGTCATTGCCACCAACGCGGTCTTGAGCAGCGTCTGGACGATGGTCAATGCCATTTTTATTGGCATCGGTTTGGCTGCTGAGGTCGGTCTGGCCGAGCACCTTGGCGAAGGTCGACCGCGCGCCGCCCGCGCCCGTGCATACCTCGGATTTGCAGCTCTGGCGTGCGTTGTTGTCATTGTCGCTTGCGTGCTGTGGTTTGGTCGGCGCAGTGTTGTCGGCATCTTTACGACTGACGAGCGAATCGTCGCCCTCTACACAAACGTCCTCTCACTGTATGTTGCTGCCGCGAGCTTGCGAGCGCTCGAGATGGGCTTCATCACGTCGTTTATGGGCATGGGTCAAATGGGCTTTGTCATGATCGTGACGATCGTCGGTCTCTGGGGCGTCCAGCTGCCATTAGCCTACTACTTTGGCAATGCGAAAGATCTGGGGCTTTGGGGCGTGTGGATCGGGTCCTCGATCGCCATTGGCATCAAGGTTCTCATCCTAATGCTTCGGTTTCGTCGGATCGACTGGCAAAAAATGGCGGCCGAGGCCATGGAAATCTCGGAAGTGCCGGGCGCCAAAATCTCGAGTACCGACATTGACGACGACGACCGCAGCAACTTTATTTACGTGCTCGAGTCGCCCGAGATGAACTCAAGGAACGATGACAAACATTGCTACCACCTCTCTTTAATCTAGTTTGATGTGTCACTGATGACTTCACCGTCGCTGTATCCTGGACGATATAAGTAAGGGTACATAGATGTTCGAACTCGACGTGCACAAAAAATGTACCACTGATTACTTTGCCAGACCCCGCGACGTCGACGCTCCAGCAGCGCTTGGACGTCCAGCGACGGTATTTCCCATACTCAAACGAAGCCCACCAATTCTATACTAGTATGCAATAGAGCATTGCCCAGCAACCACGTGCGATCACGACGACCAACCACAATTTCGTTGATCGTACACGCGTTGTCTTCCAGAGCTAACTCGCGTCCTCAGACGAAATCGAACCCGCACGGTACTTGGCTCATTTTTCAATTTCTGCACGACGCCAATGACGACAGGCGAAAAGCCCGACGTCTTTCGCCTCCGCTCGGAGCTGCTCCCGCTCCTAGGCTTGTCGCTACAGCTTATCATCAGCAACTTGGCGCGGCTAGCCATCCTAATCATCGACAACGCGTTCCTCGGACACATTGGCACAAACGAGCTCGCGGGCTCGGCGCTCGCGACGCTCTGGGTCGAGCTTCCGCTCTGCACCGTCTGGGGCATGGCCGCGGCTCTGATTCCGGTATGAGTCAGTCCGTCACAACATCATCATTCATCTCAATTCGCCTTGATGTAGCTCTGCGGTCAAGCGTACGGCGCCAAAAACTACCTCCTCATGGGCATCTGGCTGCAAATGGCGCTCATCTTGATCACCGTCTTGGCGGTGCCGACAACCGTGTGGTACTTCTTC